GATTCACTTTGACTGCCTTGGACTAGCTGAATGAAATGAACTACAGTAACAACCTTTGGCGTGCTAACCAACCTTTCGTGTAGTATAATCTTCAATAGAAGCGAGAGATTTGACTATGTTGGCCACCTTTCCAACGTAATGAGTGAACGCTAAGCACAGTTTCTCATTGAAGCGATGCTGGATCCTCTCTCTAAAGTAAGCAAAATAGTAAAAAATGATTTGCCTGCTAGAAATGGTTGAGCATAAATCGCTCGAATCTAATGTTCCTGATTTTTCCTCTAGTAATTAATCTTCAATAGCTGCGCGGCAGAATGCTCGCATAATGGTTCACTCAGATAGCGATATAAAGTTGGATGCACTACTGTAATTGCTCGCAAGTTAACCTAATTATCTACACCGTAAGCGGTTCTCTGCTCAACTGGAGATACAGTGCTTTTTGCTGCAGAAGCTGGAGCGCGTCAGGTGGTCTGGGACACAGTTCGGCTTGGTGGGGGCACTACAGGGGGGGGGGGTGATAATCAGCTAAGTTTATTCGGGCCACCTTGTGAGGTCATGAGAACTCTTCTAACTGTAGTGGCTCATTCGAACAATTTCGCAGCTTCACTGTAGTTTTAGGCGTCTGACTATAGTGAGTTTTGGTCACCGTAAACTAATAAGAGGAGCTGGTTGCATGAAATGCCTGCTCAAACCAAAATATACGCCGGGCAGGCACTCTGCTGTCTTTCAACGATTTCTGGAGCGGGCAAGCGACTATTATTGGTGGAGAGCGGGCCGACGCCACACCAGACCCAACCCACCTGGCGAGACCCACGTTTGCAGCGAGAAACTCCCCACACACCAAAAGTTGTCCAAGTTGGGAAAGTTGACCAACAGTTTGGATTAGCCCGATTCAATAGATGAAGTATATCCAGCGCGTATAACTGCTTGGTAACTCATCGAAAACATTCCGAGAAAGCTGACAGTTCGAGTGGGAAGTTTGACCCCGTTCACTTTAGGGCTCATTCCATGTTCTTTCGTAGTAAATGAGTGTTTCGAAAAAATGCACATGCACTAAAAAACTAAGTCTCTGACGCAAACGAATTCGATTATCAGTTTCAAGATATCAGCATGAGAAGGTCAGTAGATTAATGACGAAAAGGGGATTGATCGCTGATCGGCTTAGGGGGGACACTTTGCACGTTCGCTGGCTTATGCTAGTTCCTGCAAAATTCCACGTCTGGTCCTGGTCGACGTGTGGACTCTTGTCAAGCGTAACTAAGGTTTCATTGCTTTTTGCATGGCTTTAGAAGGTTCCCAGGGTCCCATAAGTGGCATCCGCAGTGATCAGTGGAAACCGGTAAAGTCCTCAAAGTCCTCCGCATAGTCGAAATGCGCCGGGGATTGTATTCATGAAGAAATATTTCGGTTTCGATCGCTTGCTAAATTACCCTTTTTGTTGAGGCTCCCACGGGACATCATCCTTGGGGATCCCCTACAGGGGTCGTATTTGATCACTAGAGGGAGGGAAGTCGTACTTGTTGGAGAGAAATTATTTAATTTCTGCTTCTGCTTTTCACGGTACAAGGGGATCGTATGCTAGGGTCGTATGCTGGTTGTTGAGAGGGGGAAGTCGTATTTGCCTACAACTATACCCCTCCCGCTCGACAACTCGATGAGGAGGGAGTTGGGAGGGGGATTGCATCAAGCCAGCTCCTAGGAGGGAAAGGTTCTACGGACTTGACCAAATGCTCAACCGATGATGTGCCTCCAGGCTCCTCAAGAGTAGGGAATCCATAAACAATAGGTTTTCCCTCTTGTGATGCCGTGGGTGGACCTACCTGAAAAAGCCGCTCCTTCTCAGCACCAATGGCAAAGTGCACTCACCAAGATCCATCCTAGCAGTCCAAAGGCATGCATTATAAGGATGTTCTCCTGTGCTGCTCCTGAGATGCGTGGGGGATGCTGCAAAACGGGATGCCGTGTAAGAACAGGAGCTCACCGCTACCATTTGTGTCGCTCAGCTTCTGCAACCGGTTGAAACTGTTGGAGAAGAACGACCGACTAGCTTCAGGGCACTTCTTTCGTAGTACGCGAGACCCTATACTGCTATGGGGACCTACCGAATGGCAAGGCTGGGAAATCGTTCCCCGCTTATCACATTCTCCTGACCCTAGGACTGCTACTTCCTCCGCCTCCTTAAGGCTTTCTTAGCTAAGAAAACTTTCAGCAACTTTGATGACATCAGTCGAGAGGCTGCTGACTTACTCTACTCGCAGCCTCCTCAGTTCTGGGAGAGGGGGAATGCTTACCTGTCCATTAGGTGGAGCACTGTAGTGGCTAACTATGACGAGTATATTGTTGACTAATTCCCACTGTATGTTGAGTTAGAAAAAAAAGAAAAAAGTCACAACAGTGACAAGACCTCCCTTCCAACCCATATTTATTTTCATATTCATACTATTATTGCAATATTCATTTAATAACTACTATTGTACTCATGTACTTTTGTGCTAATTATTTGTATTTGGACTATATTTACTAATTTATGGCGCTCGCTATATTATTCTGAGTAAAACCACACCTGAAATCGATTTGAAGACACACGAGGCAGTGAGTTGTCTGGTGGTAGGAGTTTTTCCAACTCGGCTTCATCCTGTCGACTCATGATGCGGTAGTGGTGCTGATGGATAGGTTTTAGAGCATTACCACAAGTCTGAAATTGGCTAAATCAAGTAATGCTCTTAATGGGAACATACGATGGAGCAGTTAATGACGGCAAAGCAATTTTCGATTTAAGAATACGATACGCTGCCCAAGGGCATCAGAAAAACTACACATGAAGCAAAGGAAAATCAACTAAGCGATTTTAGCGCTGATTGGGAGAGAAAAGAGACAAATGAGAAAATGAAGTGAGCATCAAAAGTACAGTAATCTAGCTTTGAAGCAAATTCGTGATTACAATCCGTGGATACTGAAGCTTTAGCACGACTAAAAATAAGCTGAAGGTGCAAGAACACAACAAAGAGAAAAACGAGAAAAGAGTGAAAAGCGCTGCATATATGATCCCTCCTGATTTTATGCCTCATTTGAGCAGAAGGAGCAGATATTGTGTGTGGAAATGAGAAGCAGATGACATAAAGGCGACCGCTCACATAAAAGTAGGACCACCACCTGTAACAACAAAAAAAAGTGAAGCAACAATGGTGGATATCGACATATAGGGCTGAACGCGAGAGGACACTTGACAGTCAAGAGAAAAACAACAGAAAAGCTGGAGATGAAGCAAGTTGGTTGCAAGTTCAACTAAATGAGCTAAAATTTCCTAAAGAATGTAGTGAAAAGCTGCTTTTGCCATTAGATAAAAGAATTCCACCGACATCCTCTGTTCTGAAAGCGAGATACGAGGCAACAGTACTAAGGCTTGCTGACAACTCAACCTTTTACCAGCCAGCTAGTTCGTCCAAGGCCGAGGGCACATCATTCCTTGGGGATTTTAGCCCCCCCCCCCAGGCCCTCTGTCCTTACCAATCGAATCGAGCCGTCGAGCGGGGGGGGAGAGGGGGCATATAGTACGCATGAAACAGGAAAATCACCAAAAGTCAACCACCACTCCTACAACGCCAAAACGTAAATACGACCCCCCCCTCCCAACAATGACCAAGTACGACCCCCCCTTTACAACGTCCGTGAAGCGAGAAAAATCAACTATCAAAATAAATTTTTCCAGCCCAAATACGACCCCCTCTCCTGGCGGCCAAATACGACCCCCCTATTGGGGATTCCCCAACAACGATGTGTCCTGCCAAGGCCCACGCGAACAAACCAAAGGGACTTCGAGCGAATGGTTCATCATCTCTCAGGATCATCAAACAACTGCTTGCACAAGTAAAGCCCACAGTCGTCGGCGCGTACTTCCGAAGCCAGTCCACTGCTTTAAAAGCAGTAACAGCAGTGTTTGATGAGTACCTCTAACCGTCTAACTTTGAGAGGGATCAGAATGCGTAGCGCAACTTATTGATTAGCCAAACCAGTAATCGGTGATTTCTCCAGTTAAGAGAAATCTCGCCATGAATACGTTTCTTTCCAAGAACACTCCGTGGGAGAAAGTAATCATTAGTTCAAACTGATGGAGGAAAAAATTCTTTTTTTCCGAAATGTATTATTCTGCTTGGAATGCGTCGTTTAAGTAGATGCAGATCGATAAGAGAAAATACGTGTAACGTGGATAAATATAGTTGTTTTCGTTGCAATCAGCCGAGACGGTCTCAGGAGAGCTGGAAAAGCTCGCCTCCGGAAGCGTTTCCTGCCAATAGCGGTCGATTCAGGCACACCATAATTGGGAGCCCCCCCTCACAGGAAAGGAGGGTCGTATTTGGTTTGAAAAATTTTTTTATTCTGATAGTTGATTTTTCTTGTTCCACGGTTCGCGATTTTTCCTGTCTTACATGTGCTATGTATCTCTTCCCTCCCCCCCCCCCCCCCCCGCTCGACAGCTCGATCGTATCAGAGGAGGAAACTAGGGGAGGGAGGATTGCACAGACCCAACCAAAATCTTCTCCAACTAATCATGTGCCCTGGATCGATTAGTAATGGATCAAGGAGAAAACAACCAGTGGTAGAAACGCCGCGGGTGGCTCATTCCATGCCTCGTGACACCGCCCCGACCGATCACGACGATATTAACTGTACGACACATGTCATGACAGCACTCTGAGGCCTTTTAGGAGCGGCAATTAGCCAAAATGTCACGATCAATAAAAGGTGCCTGAGAGGCTGTTGGGCACAAAATACAGTTCCAGTCCAAACTGCGCTTGAACGACACATAAATTCGTGTAGCGAAAGTCCCACCCACTCCATAAACTCCGCCTAGAAAAGGTGTGTAATGTCCTGTAGTAGAAAACGAAACCATGGTATAATTTTGCATTACTTCACGGTTAAGAACCCCTTTCAATGCAGATCAGTTCCGGTTTCCTAAGCCATCCAAAAACGATGGAAATGAAATGAAAAAAATGAGGGCGCAACTCGGGGAGGGTGGAAGGGGGGAGCAATTTGCACTTTCGCTGCAATCATAGCATCTCAAGAGTTGGCGAGTATTCTTTACAAGACTTGATAAGCGGTCTCTTCACTCAACGGACTTCAACCGGTACTATATACTTGTTTGCTTTACAAGATTCATAGATCTTTTCTGGTGGCTCGGCAAATGGAAGCAGCAAAAACACAAAATGTCACCCCCCTCCCTTCCCAAGCCGAACTGCGTCAAAATGGGTGCTCTACCCAATATATTCGACAGATTCAAAGATTCATCTGCTTAAATAAGTACTCATTATGCATTGTGAGCGCAGTCGGCGATGGGGGGGGGGAATTTACCCTTTCGCTAGTTCCGATTTACAAGTATTGCTCTGGTTAAACGGGTGAACTCTTGTGAAGCGGGAGCAACATAGCTCGCTGAGCCACAAGATAACACCTGTCTACTCTTGTAAGCTCACGAAATAGCTCAGGTGGTTTGACAGGTCGATGGGAAGCAGCAAAAGTTCAAAATGCCCTCCTCCATTGCCGAACTGCGCCTGCATAAAGATGCGGAAAGCAAGAGAAGCAGTGGGTGTGTAGTGGCATAACGAGTAACAGCTATACACCCCCACCTGGCGACGGGCAATTAGATAAAGTGGCTCTCCCCGCTCGACATGCAAATCCTATAAAAAGGTATGGATTATGGTGACAAAGCCCATAAAACTTCGAAGAAATATCGCTTCAGAAAATGGCCTCAGCAAACGAAGCAGCCTACGCAAAGTGCATGATTCAACATACGATTTGTTACAGTAATCTATTATTGTTTGCTTTTCTTAGGTGTCCTCAAAACCTGTCGCGATGACGTTTTGTTGCAGCAGGAAAGTCGTGGGACGCGAAAATCAAAGCAGAAAAAGCTTATCGTCGAGATATGTGAGGACGAAACCATAGAGACAAATGACACGCTTATATGGCTGAGATTCGGAACTCGGTGCGTGGCGCATCCTCAAAGGGGTTTTGACCTCCGATTCTACAGTATAAATGAAGACGTTTGAAATTAAGGACACAACGGCATGCCTGGACCGAAAGAGTATATCCGATATCCTAGTAGATCCGAAGATGTAATAGAGAAAATAATGAAAAGGCGACTACAGCTCTTTCTGGGATGCGCCACAAGTTCGAAGTTTATTAAGAATCTTAGCAGCGATTGAATGCGTACTGACCCTACAGGATAAAGTACCAAGGCTGATGCACAGACCAGGGACGTAATGAAGCAATTCATGCAAGTGAAAAGAATTGCAAAAGTTACAGAAATTACGGAAGGAATTACAATAAGAACGACCCATGAGAACCAATGAAAATTGGGGAGACGGTAAAGAGGATCGTAATTCGCCGCACCGCCACGCGCGGCGATGGGCGCGGCGTTTTCATAACTCGTTTTAACCTGTCGAATGGAGCACCGGACTTCATGTAGACCCCGTCATCGTAGACACTCATTACTGTTTTCGGTCCTTAATTGCATGTTGTCGCCATCTACTGCCTGAAACCATCGTCCTTTGCGGCGGACGCCCAGCAGCGCGGCAAATTACGATCCTCTCGTCACATACCCTGAAAATTCAAGGTTGCTTGGGAAAGGTAGTGTGGTCTACAACGTACAGCCTTATGCCAGTCCCGCGGAGGAAATTCGTGAGGTAAAGGTGCCGAGGGGAAAAGTTGCTCTAGTAGCACCTCATTCTTTCCAGTGACTCCAACTCAAGACTCCGTCTTCAGAGTCCGCCTTTCAGCGGAAAGCGACGCTAGGCAACGAGGAGGATGAAATGGATGCTCATGTCATTGTCTCGTGAGGAGTCACAGCGTTCATTGCATGATCACACCCTGACTGCACCCACCCTAATAGAATGTCTTTTGGCATTGTACCCCTGCGATTGCATGAGGGTAGATGAGTCCAGTCAGAGGCTTTCCAACATTCTTTTTTGCGTGTTGTCCTCACTAGCTAGTCCTTTGATAACTTCTCTTTCATATTTTAACACAACAACGTCTACCTTCTAGCAGATCAACTTCTCTTTTCGAGCTGGGATTATGAAGGAACCAACTGAATGCATTCGGCACATTCTAATGTACACATATAAAAAGTATATAAAAGAAAAGCCCCTTATTGGGTCCGATGTTCAATGTCTCGTCCATCTGTGGTGCTGGTGGTGTAATAATTTATAGAGGCGCTACGACACATTATTACAACTGACCACTGACTATTTTTCTATAAGAAGTAGTCGTATTGAAAGGGCACAGAGCAAAGAGCATTTACGTCATTGTTCACTTTTCGATCGTCAGAAGAAAAAAAAACAGTGTTATGAAAGCTATTGTACTTGATGTAATGTGTTGAGCACCAGAGCAATAGCCAGCGCAAAGACCCATTTAAAAGGCAGTTGGCACGATGGTTTCCTACTTAGCCTAAAATGCTAGTAGGGCGCTGTATAGTGGGGAAATGGCGAAAGAACGGAGTGAAACGGTCAAAATCCTGCGAAGAAAAAGCCTCCGTTCTCAGTGACTTGAAAATCGATTTCGGACGAGTTTCCCGTAGGCATCTTACCAATCACCGCTACCGAAGATACGGCTGCATATGTGTACCCATGTATGCATGCAGCATC